ATTTATCTCTTTGCAAAAGAAAATTAAAATAATAAATAAGCAAATTATTAAACAAAAAATATTTTACCACAGTTTTGCTCTTTAAACTCCACTAACCAAAATGACAAATCCAAAATTATAAACAATAATAATAGTAATAATATTATTATTACTATTAGAGCTTTTTGGATATAAAACCCAAATTCTAAAATCAACATTGTGATCGGTAGGGGTGTTCACGGTCTGGTTTTAACCGAAAAAAAATCGTCAATTCAGACCGCAAATCGGTTAAATGGTCAGTTAGAAAAGCCTTAAAAAATTCGGTGGTTAATTTTTTTAAAAATCTGGAATAACTGGTCCGGTTAACGGATTACCTGCGGCAAACCGACGGTTTAACCGAACCAGACCGATAAATATTAAAATATATATATACATATACATTCATTCATTCACTATGGCCGACAAATACAATACATTCACTATGAATGCTTTGCTCTTATTATTTCAGGTGTATAAACTGACTGAAAAATGAATGTTTGCTTAGGTTCAGTTTGCATAATTTAATCTTCATCATTTTTGTATATTTATATTTATGGGATGAAATGTGTATTTTTATACTTATGAGACTAATTGTGTATTTTTTATTTCATTATTGTTGTTTTTCTTAATTTTTAGGCCCAAATAATCTCTTTTTGGCCCAAAATTGAAAAATAAAAATTAAGCCTAAAATACAAAAAATAAAAATTGAAGGTCCGAAACAAGGATTTTAGATTTAATCGGTTAACCGCCAAAAGGAACTGTCCAATGCGGTCCGGATTGTGGTCGGTTAAAAAATAAAACCGATCCGATTATTGACAAAAAAAAAAATTAACCGTTAGGTCCGGGTTGGTCATGATTTGGGTTAAAACCGGACCAATCCAGACCATGAACACCCCTAGTGAACGGTATATAGTCAATTACCTAATCAATAGATAAGACTAAAATAATTGATCTCCTCCAATTCACAAAAGTACTTGAGGGTCTTCGGTGGTATAAGAGCATGGTGTTTTATTAAGAACTCTTCAATAAATTCATTATATAGTAATTAAATTATAGTGAAGACAAATTTAAAAAGAATATGGATATAAAAAAAATGACTAAAATGTTAATGCTATAAAAAATATCTTCAAAGTTATGTGAACATGAATAATTTGTAGTAAATAGCATTGTTTTTTGACCCGGTCCGGCCCGGCGGGTCGACCCAGGAACCGGTCGACTCAGAGTCGGAACTGGTCCGGGTGAGCTATTTAGACCGGACAACAAAGGACCCGGTCAAACCCAGTCAAAACCCGGTCAACCCGGCCTTGACTCGACCGGGTCAACACGGTTGACCAGGTCCATATATATATTTTTTTTATTTTTTATTTTTTTTTGTTTTTTAAAATAAAACTTTGTTCATTGCAAATGGAGCTGGAAGAGTCATTGTTGACAATTCTCCTGGCATAGTGCTAATAATGGACTAGATCAAAATGACTCAATTAAATTATAGTGCTTCTTCTATTAGTGAAGTTTCTAGAAAAAAATATATATCAAACGGCGCAATGCACCTTGGGTCGCTACGGAAACAGCCTCCTTGTATAATTACAAGGGTAAGGTCTGCGTACAACTGACCCCCCAGACCCCAACTTGTTGGGAATATACTGGGTATGTTGTTGTTGTTGTTGTTGTTGTTGTTGTTTTTAAAATAAAACTATGTATATATGTTTATCATGAGATACATATAATTAATATTTTAATGTACAAATTTTATACACAAAACATTTAATTTTGTTACTTTTATGTATATTTATATGACAAAAATACTCCATATATATTTTTAAAAATTTTAGGATTAATTATCCGGTTCAGCAATTGACCCAATGACCCGGCGGTTGAACCGGTGATCCCGGATTGATTAACGAGCCGAGTTTAAAAACTATGGTAAGTAGTATAATTTATTTATTTATTTCTGTACGTAAAGATTTTCTAAGTAATTATACTCCATAATTGCACTACTAAAAAGTAAATCCAAAATTATAATCACCAAAATTCACTTTTAAAAAAATGGATAACTTGTCAAAATTCATAGTTATGGAAGTTAGACAGCATATCAACCCTCATTTGGTAATCAAAACAAACTAGTATTAACACCCTTGCATTGCACGAGTGCTTGTTACAAAAATTATTCTTAAATTTTACAATTAATGAAAAAAAATTGTTTTAAAGTTTAATTACTTTTTACAAGAAAATATATATTATTATATATTTATAATGACACTTAATACTTGTGCGACTTATATGTGTTATATTATAATAATTTTTTAACTTATATCATATAACTACTTGAAACATAAATATATTAATTGATAAATAATTTTAATTTTTAATTAATATTAAAAAATAATTTTATTATTGTTATAAAGATAAATATAATTTTTTTATACATACAATATGAATGTTAAATCGAAGTTCATCAAGAGATGATTAATTTGATATATTATATATGTAAAACTGATAAAAAATACAAAAGTTATTAACTTTTAAAATACATTTACAATTCAATGTTTATAATAAGAAATGATATTAAAATTCAATTAATACATTTAACATGACCATAAATAATCAATATATTTATGAATAGTACATACTTAATTATTTTTAGATTGAGAGTAAATTAAAATCTAGCCAAGCCAAATAATGAAACATGTAATTTTGCCACATAGGATCTCAAAGCATGCGAGTCTCTCACTTAGGCTCAAACACGTTTTGAATTAATACACATAAGGAGATATTTCATTTTCTTTCAAAATGATAGTAGAATAATCAGAGATTTTATAAAAAAGCCATTGTACACATAGCACTGCTCAATTTATATTTTGAATGAGTTAGGTTGATTACATACAACAACTTTTGCACTTGTCCAAAAAGAGAGGTACCATATGGACTATCTGGGTCTAAACTAAAGAGAAATGCTATGGAGTCAATATTTGACTCTTTTATGGAGCCAACCACTAATGTTATAGTGCCACGTAGGCCATGTAGAGTTAATTATTTTTTCACATGGTCTACGTGACACTATAATATCAGTGGTTGGCTCCATAAAGGAGCAAACCATTAGCTCCATAGCATTTCTGCTAAACTAAATGTTACAAACATATGTAATGGATCACAAATTACGAGCTCATCCCAAAATAATAGTTAAAGTCATACTAATATTACGAGTTGGAAATAAATTGTTTAGGGCATGTTTTTTTACAAGAGTTTTTAAAAAAAATTCCAATATTTTAACTCAACCACTTTTTTTAACTCAATTTTAACTTAACTTCACTATCATCAATATTATCAATATAATTAAATAATATCAATCAATCATTCATACACACCACATCAGCCTTAATTCACTATTCATTCACTCACATTATTTTAATTAACTATCACTTCAAATCATCTCTCTCCTACTTTTACATCAAATCAATTTTAATTATTTTATTTTAAATATTATTTTAATATATCCACTAACGCCTAATCATACTACCTTTTTTAAAATTAACCAAAACAAACTAAAAAATTCAAACAAAACTAAAAATTTCCATAAACAAACATGCTCTAAGTATTCCATGGATATACTGAAATTCAAAAGACAAGACAAAGTGATGGTGAAACCAAGTACTAGTACCAAAGAAAGGTTCAACAAATCCTAACTAGAATTAGAGAATTAATGAAACGTCAAAATTATTATACTATAATTCTTAGCTGACATCCAAAAAAGAGGCAAATCTTTAGAGGATAAATTAAGTTCTTCTACAGAACAACAATAACTAACTTTCGGATGGTACATCTTTTGGGAGAAACTTAGTGAGGTTCGAAAACAGATGATGGATGACGAAAAATTAAGCGCCATCATTAAAGGAAAATCCCTTAAATAATATAAAGAATCAATAATGAAGATCCACATGATCTAGTTGAATCCTTTAGCAAGATTAGATCTAATATGTTTTAAGATGAACACGAGAGATAATTTGGCACTAGAGACAACACGAACCATAATGAAACAAGAAAATATTTTGAGGGACTAGAGTAAGTGAAACAAGAAAATATAAGCAAGCCCGCTATTATCTTGATTTCCATGACACTTGTCACGTAGATGAATGTATAAAGTTATTCACAAAGTACAAGTGGAAGTCCAAGGTAGAAAATTTGAAGCTTCGCAATTATTTTTATGATGATAGTCATTGGAGAGAAATGCTAACTAGAGAATACAAGATGGATATTGTAGCTACACGTGTCACATTGTTAATTTATCTATTAAATGTCAATAGTCAAATTTTATTGTTTTATTGTTTATTTATTTATCTGAGAAGTTTGCCAACTCGATATGTAATTCGTCTAATTAAATGATATTTTGTACGTTTAGTAAGAAAGAACCCATTAATTTAGACTTTTGTTTGAACTCAACTTTTTAATTCATGAACAGTTCATATTATCGACTTCACTTTATTTGTCCCAAAATCCCAGCCTAATAATTAGGCCCATTTTTGCAATTCAATTTCACTGAGATTAACACTTTTCTTTCAATTGTTAACGAATTTGTACAAGAGTGAGCTGGGTCATGTTATTCGTTTTGGCTGCAAAAATGACCTGGACACGGTTCAACCTGACCCGACCACAATGCTTGGGACAAGCAAAACCTGCACTTTTCTCAGATGAATTGACCCGGCCCAACCCGGAGTATTTGGGGTAGGTCAATTCTATCATATTTCTACAACGGGTCGGGCCAATTAGCTAAGTGGGCCAGGCCCAATTCTTAAACCTTGCCCATCTTCGGCCTACCCGGCGTGTCCGATATTTTTAATTCTTATATACAATATATTCCCTCCTATTTATAATAAGTGTGAGAAGTTGTACAATAATTAAAAATATTTTTTTTTAATAATAATTTTCATTAATGACGATAAAGATAAATGTTTTGAGA